ATATGTTACCTTACCTATGCATGTAAAGGTGTAGTTCACTTTTTAAAAGCTAAAATACCAATATTGGTATTTTTTGTGATATGAAAGATGTAGTTGGTATAAATGTGAAAGCAAAATATAGGTGTTGGATATGTAAATGTATAGGAATTGGGTGGTATGTATGTACATGCCCTTTTTGTTTGCTTGAAAACAAATTTGTTTAAAGTTTTCTTTTGCTCAATTTTGAAATTCTTTTAGTTTATTTTTTAATAGTAAAGTAGAATTGATGATTCAATTGAAATCATATTGGTTCTTTCTTGTGCCCGTTTTTATTTATGCTTATATATATGGCTTCATTGAGTGAGTGATAACATTCTGTCTCCTTTGTAGGCTGGTTTATTTTTTGTTGAACATTGTAAAGCTAAGTGTCTTGTGATTCTTGGGTATCTTTTTTAATCATTTTGATTATTCATCTTATTCATTTATAGGATTCACTTTCACATTGAAATTTTTTTTTTCTATCAATTCATTTTCTATAATATAAAGATTGATTGTCATCAAGCCTGAGATGGTGAGATTTTGATGCCTCAAAAGAGTTTGTGCTTTTGAAGAATTAGGAGGTAATGTTTGTTAGTATTGATTTATGAGAAAATAATTAGAGGGTTTATTTAACTCAAGTTATAGTTTTTGTTATTAATCTAAAGCTTTAACAAATTTTAAGAGGAACTATAACGTTGGACGATATTCTAGATCTGCAGATATTATTTTAATCAAAAGATGTGATGATAGATATTTAAACATACATTTTCGCTTGCATGAAAATCATACACATCAAGGGAGCAATTTATCTAAACTCAATGCGCAAATTTCATAGCGTTACCTGCTTCAATATGTTTCATAGCAATAAGGTTTAGGGAAGTTAGGGCCAGGATGTTGCCATCCGCAGTAAAGTTGTTTAAAAAACTGATTAATTGGTTTAGGCAGTAGTCATGTAGGGCTGTGAATAATACGATTTTAAGTTATGGTAGGTTTGAGATCTGCTCGTTATTTGCTATATTTGATTTCAAGCCAAGTAGACTTGAGATGAGCGTCATTCAACTCTAAATTGAAGTGAGTGGACTCAAATTGAGTTATTTGGATCCGTTCTAACTAAAAAATTAAAAAGCTAATTCATTTTTGATTGATAGTTTAGAATTAATGAATACATTTACCGCTTGTGCATTTTAAAATTATATATATAACTTTTACAAATGCAAAATGCTTCATGCCAGTTCTAGCAGATTCATGTTTGGCTTAAAGTTTTCTTGAAAAAATTTGATCCATGATTTTTATCTTATAATTCGGTTCATTTGTGTCAATCTGATTTCAATTCGAGCCAAAACATTTTAGAGCAAATAATAATTTTAGAGTTAAATTCAAAGCCATGGTCATATTGGAAGGTGGCCAATTTGAGAAGTTTGCCTCAGAAGGTTCAAGGGCGGGCGGCGAGAAGAAGGGCAAGGGGAAGGATCCCTTTGTTCATACATATATGTAGCTCTTTCAAGCCACTCCTTAGAAGTGACAAGGAAACGTTTATTTTCTGTTCGTTGTTATGTTGAGGAAGAGGCATTACCTTAACCCAAGTGATAGTTTGAAGCGGTGAGTTGGCATTCAACTCTTTTTATATCAGGAATCGCCATACTATAATATAATGTTAGTTTTGCAAACAGTCATCTTGGTTGGGAAAGCACAATGTAGAGACTAATGTAGACTTGATAGTTTTGAGAGGAATGACTATTATGAGTAGATGATTTACTGGTCATGCTTGTCAATCAGAGCTTTAACATAATCAAGTTCGAATTCTGAGTGATGGCTTCTCTTTTGTAAAATTTTAGTCATGAAGTTCTGTAAATTTAGCTTGATTCTTGGACAAAATTTAATTCAAAAAGAAAAGATCTTGTGCATTCCTTGATGTTTAATCATAAAAATAACGTGGAGCCATCTGCAATCCTAAAGAAGCGTAATGAACTCACCAATATGAAGTGCTATAAAAGGTTGAAAATAATGCAAAGCTGATTGTGATTTGTGATAATATAAGAAGTCAAAGTTATTGAAAACTCCATTTGTCCAATGGCCACTTAGACATAAAACACGTCTTTAGTGAGGTACAATTTTTTTTTGGTCTTTGATTGAGTTAATCACATGACAATAATATAAGATAAGGAGATTACGAGAAATGAATTGCATTCATTCTATAAAGGATTAAAAAGTTGAAAACAATTGCATCTAAATTCCAATACTTGGTACAAGAAGCCCAAGTAGCTAACCTTACTTAGATTTCGTGGAATAGAAATAATTCTCATGTTTTGTACGGTCATCATCGACTTTAGTTTTGATGATAGGTGTCTAATGCAATTGAAATAGCTTGGAGTTAGTACAACATCTTTACCATATTTTTCAAGAACAACTACGGAAATACTATTAAAAAAATAAGAGCTACAAAATAGTTAAATTAGTTATTAAAAAGCAAATTAGATAAAGACTTAATTTGTGATCAAAGGAAGATTATAATTCCATAATTTTCACCCAAGTTAATTATATTTAATTTTTTGGCGCTGTTCTTAGTTGAAAATTATTGATTTTCTACGGAAAATAACTAAAGAAAATTTAGTAGTATCAAATTTTAAGGGATTAAATGAATAAATATTCAATAAGAAAACCATTATCCTGAATGATCATCAAGCTCCAACAAGCATTTTTATGTCTTACAAAGAACCCAATCAAGCCTCATTGTAGGAGGATGAGTGTTGCTTTGAACATTGAAAATAATAGAAAAAAAAAAGTCATGAAAATCTGAGCTATGTTGATTCTTATTTGCTTGTCTTACAATTCGTGTGCTATTATTGATAATCAGAGAGACCTCCCTTCGGATTGGAATTCTAAATGCATGTGTAAGGAAGAAAAAGACCACTAAAGAGGGCTAAGTGAGTTTAAGTAAATCAATCTTGCTAATATTATTGAACTCAATTATGGTTTTCTCCACCCATGTCTCCTAAATTAGAGAGTTCACCATGAATTGTTCAAGGTATTCTTAAAAAAAAATTAAAAAACTCTCGAAATCATCCATGGCATGGGTATTTATAAGAAATACCCGATTATTGAGCAAATGTAGTTGGAAATTCAAAGATTAAAAGAGGCTTAAAAGTAACTTTATTTGAAAATTTAAAACACTGCCCTTTAAAGCACCGACAGAATCTCCTTGCACTTATGAAAACTTCTTAACACTAAAAATTGAATTAAAAAAACTGAATGAATTGATCTGAAATTTCTCTTCTATTTATAGAAAGGAAAAGATGTTGTGTGGGGCTCGCTTGAGTTTAATTGACCATATAAGGATGAAATTTAGAATTTCACCTCCCATATACAAATAAAATTCTAAAATGATATCTCGCCAAAGCATTTAAACTGAAATATGATTTAAAAGCTACACAATTATACCCAATTCACTCTCGCCACTGATCGAGTCCACAACCCCAATTACATGAATGGACCTAAATATTTGAACAGAACTTAATGATAACACACCTGTGCAAATAATAATTAAAGTTTCAAAAGTCAATCCAAGCTAAGAAATAATTAAAGTTTTGTTAAACATTTGCACATGTGGTCTGAGAATGCTACCTGGACAATGGGCTCCCTTGCCTAAAGGGCAAGGTCTTGAGTCCCACACTTTGGCCAATCTAATCCTCCTTCTTACGGGGACTAAAGTTGACAAGACCAAGCCTCAATCTGATCCTCCTCATAATAAGTATTGCAGTTGACTTGAATAACACATTTTTTAATGCTAGAGTAACAAATCTCAATCAAATCATAACATAATCATTTAAATAATAATTCTCTGATGATGGGCATATCCATTGTTTATTTCAATCAAAGTGGATTTATTTATAAAGGTCAAAAATTTAAATCATAAAATTTATAAAATAATCAAATAATAATTTGTCCCTCAAGGCTAAAAGAAAAGCACTATCCACCCTCTACAATCGTTTGCTGATAGACAAAAAAATTGTTGATTGAAGCTCACAAAGTGCCTATGTCATTTTAAGCATACTATTTCGTGCAAGTAAGGATGTGGCTCGAGTCTTATGTTTTTTGTGATTTGTCCAGTAGGATCTATAAAAGAAGTAGTTACAACTTGAGTCATCTGACCGGATGATTTGGCTAGTGGGCTCCATCAGCTGGTTGGTTAAAGACATCACTATGAAATGGTCACAGTTGTAGTATGTACGTTCTCCATTGTTATTTTACCCTTTTAAGTTATAAATCATAAGATATCTTTGATAGGGAATGAAACCCTTTGAATTTAGGGTTGACTTGGATTAGTTCCCTTAGACAAACCCTTGGACGAGCAACCTATGGTTGCTACAATGATACTTATTTTATATTAGGTTTACTGTCTCCATTGATTAAATAGATTAAGT